GGGTTTCGCCATGTTGGCCAGGTTGGTCTTGAGCTCCTGACCTCAGGTGATCCACCCATTGTGGCCTCCCAAAGTGCTGGGATTACAGGCATGAGCCACTGTGCTCAGCCGCTCAGCCATGAATTGGAACTCTTGACCAGGCTCCTCTGAGTTCACCATGCCATGCTCAGGCTGCTTTCATCAACAGAGCCAAAGCACTTGACCTCTTCGTGCCTTGGTTTTGCCATCCATGAAATAGGAAAATCATCCTAGTGTCAGAAATATAAAATGTCCTTGTCTGGTAGCCTTTGGAAGATCCACCTCTTTGGGATGGCGGTGGGGAGGTGTGCTCTCCTGGCAGCAAGGGGTGCCGGGGGCCTCTGCTGGACTGGAGAACTCTGGAAAACAGCCTCATTCCTGTCTTCAGCACATCTGACAGGCCAGAGGAGAAAGCCTGAAATAGAACTGGCTGCCCTTCACCCTCCACGGGTTCAAGAGAGCTGTTTGTCTAGCTCTGAATAACCCATTCTATAAAGAATATTCTGAGAATTTCCTTATGTGGCAGGGCACTGCACTGGGTGATTTCACTGGGCCGGAGGAACTCTCCTCTCCATCCCTACCAGCAGAGACAAGAATGGGCACTATTCAGCCTTGAGGAATGAATGTTGAAAAGATGGGAAGATCTTTGAAGGCATGAACGGCTGTGACAAGGAAGGTGGGATACAGTTCATCTCCATCTCTGCTAGGCTTGGAGAAGAGGGGATGGACTTTGAATACAGCCACCAGGACTCAGATTTAAAAAAGAACGTTCCGATAGAATTGAGAATAATTTGCTCAGGATAATGTCCTCCAGCTGCCTCCGTGTTGCTGCAGAGGACAGGATTTTGTTATTTTTTATGGCTCCATACTATTCCATGGTGTATTTTCTTCAGCACTTACTACCACCTGAGGTTATAAATTTAGTTGTTCATTATCTACCTTCTCCATTAGAATGTGAACTCCACGAGGGCAGGGACCTCATCTGGCTCTCCACTGTACACCCAGGGCCTAGCTCAGTGTCCAGTACGTGGTAGGTGTTCAATAAATATTTTTCTGAATGAAAAGAAACTTCATTCAGAGAAGAACCAATGCAGTGAAGGAGCCATATTTCACACTTTCATTTTTTTCTCTCAGAATTTCTGAATTCAGATCCATTCACTTCAGAGAATAACAGACATTTTCCAAATGTCTTGGACGAGAACACGCTCACTTCTACTCCTAACAGTTCAGAATGGCTTAATCTTCCTGAATAGTTGGATGAAGTTTCTTCCCCCTCTGTCTCATTATTAGAGACCAATGGAGTTATTCCTTGTTGATTAATTAATTTTTTTTTTTTTGAGCCGGAATTTCACCCTGTCACTCAGGCTGGAGTGCAGTGGCTCATTGTAACCTCTGCCTTTCAGGTTCAAGCGATTCCCCCACTTCAGCCTCCTGAGCAGCTGGGATTACAGGCATGTGACACTACGCCTGGCTAATTTTTGTATTTTTAGTAGAGAAAGGGTTTCACTACATTGGCCAGGCTAGTCTTGAACTCCTGACCTCAAGTGATCCACCTACCTCGGCCTCCCAAAGTGCTGGGATTAGAGGCATGAGCCACTGTGCCTAGCTAAATTTTTTTTTAAATTCTCTGTTAGGTCAAAAAAATGATGAGGGGAGGAAACTGAGGTGTCATGGGCAAGGCCCGACAACCAACAGGAAGGTGCTGCAGGGCGGGTTCCTTCTGACAGCTGTAAGGTAGGGTCCGCTCCACACCTCTCCCCTGGCTTCTGGGGGTTTACTGATCATCTCGGGTGCTCCCTGAATTGCAGACGCATCATCCCGATCTCAGCCTTCACATGGCGTTCTCCCCGTGTGCATTTCTGTGTCCAATTTCCTTCTCCTAGTAAGAGCGCAGTCATATGGGAGTAGGCTCATCCTAATGACCTCATCTTAACTTCACCATGTCTGTAAAGGTCCCATCTCCAAATGAGGTCACATTCTGAGGTACTAGGGGTTAGGGGTACATTTGGGGGGTGAAGGAAACAATTCAACCATACCACTTTCTTTCCCTCCAAATGGGGATTAGAATACAATCTTTCTTCATATAATTGCAGTGGTTGTGAAAGTGTCTCGAAGAGGCTTGGTTCCTAGAAGTTCAGTAGACATCTGGTTTGCCTGAATGTGCACGTGCCTCGGAGCTGTCTGGGTCGGACTGCACCCTTAGGGAGCAGGGCTCAGGTGGGGTAATCAGTCTGTGAGAGTCCAACACAGGTAAACAGGTGCTTGGCCAATGCATTTCTCTGATGGTGAAGAGGAAAGGCTGGAGAGAAAAATCTACTGATACGCCAGGGCTAGAAAAAGTCTGATACCAAGCGCTGGAGAGGATGTGGAACCTCAGGAGCCCCCGTGTGCAGCTGTCTGAGTGTGCACTGGTAAAAACACTCTGGCAATATGCCAAAAAGGCAAAGCTGTATATGGGACGTCCCAGCAATTCCACTCCTAGGTGTAGGTGTATACTCTAGAGAAATGCTGACACAGGTGCCCCAGGAGATGTGTGCAAAAATATTCACAGCAGCATTGTTTGTTAGACCTAAAAATGAAAAATAACCTCAATTTTCTCAATGTCATGCATGCATCTAGTGGAATACTATGTTACACAGCAGGTGAAGTCACTTAACTAGAGCTAGGCATATCGTATGGATGAATCTCACTAACAAGTATTGAGCAAAAAAGCAGACTGCAGAAGAATAAATACAGTGAGTAGGACAAAACCAACGATGTATTGCTTAGAATGCATATGGAAGTATTTGCATAAAGAATATAAAGAAGTATGGGCCTGATAAACACCGATTTCAGCAGGTGGAAGTGGAAGTGCACGGGGAGCTTCAACAGCTTATTTTTTAAACTGGTGATCAGTAAAGAGTACTGGTTATCTTACTCGTTATAACTTCTGTATATTTGAAATGTAACATTTTTTAAAGAGCCAGGACTTGAGGAGAGTCATATAAAGGAGACTGAGATGCCAGGGACCATTTCTACTCGTGGGAAGATTCAGAGGTGTTCCTGCCATTCCCTGGAACCCAGAATCCAGAGTAAATTAGTTAAAGACTCTGACATCTGCTAGGCGCGAGAGAAGAGACCTAAGGAGGTAAAGCTAGGGGGATGGGAGGAGGGAAGGACACTCTCGTGCTGCCCCTCTCTGATCTGAATCCAGTTATTGGCCTGCACGCCAGCCCTGGGCTGCGGAGGAAACAGCTGGGCGGCCCTGGGAAGCCTGGGAGGGATGCAGAGGAAGGGGGGGCCACACAGGCTGGGAGGGGCACTAGGGCTGCCGCCCCCACACAGTGACAGGCGCTTCCTTGCAAACCACCTGGCACAGGCACCCTGACAGTTTACAGTACTGTCTGTCTCTCCTTCTCTCTCTCTCTCTCACACACACACACACACACACACACACACACGCCCCATCCACCGCCCGCTCTGAACAGGACCCCAGCGTTGGGGACGGGGCCAAGTCAGCCAGCTGTGGGCCCTGCCAACCCTCCCTCTCTTCTAGGACTGGGTTTTTCCAGCCGGAGTCTCACTCCCTCTACAGCAATCTCGGGAAATTGGAGACGACGCGGCTGCTCCTGAACATTATTTATTTCTTTCCTCTTTCCCTCCCGCGGGGACCCTCCTGTTGGAAGGAGAGCTGCAGCACAGGACGGAGACAGGCAGGAAGAAGCAGAGAGGACTCGGTGACGCCCCCCTGAGCAGCCCCCGGCCCACTCCTCCAGCAGGGGCCATGAGCACCAAGCAGGAAGCCAGGAGAGATGAGGGAGAAGCCAGGACGAGGGGGCAGGAGGCACAGCTTCGAGACCGAGCCCACCTGAGCCAGCAGCGCCGGCTCAAACAGGCCACCCAGTTCCTGCACAAGGACTCGGCCGACCTGCTCCCGCTGGACAGCCTCAAGAGGCTCGGCACCTCCAAGGATTTGGTGAGGCATCCCCCTCCCCCGCTCGCGTCCCCTGGCCCTTTCCTTCCACTTCTCAGATCCTGAGCAGGACCAGAACGTGCAGACCCTCAGCTTTCAGGTCCCGCTCCCTTGCTGAGACGGGGAGAGGTCGTATGTCAACTTGAGGCTCTTCACTGGGGATGTCACCATGGTTTGGTGGCTCTGAGGGGTCCTATTCTCACTGCTTAGCTTCCCTGCCTTTTCCCTCTAATGGCCCACAACTTGACGGTGGTGAGGAGCTAGGCTGTTTAGGAGTGGGGGCTTACAGGAACACAGGAACCTTCTAGAGTGGTCACTTAAAACTGGGAGGGCCTGGAGGACTGGCCAGTTTAGGGTTGTGACTTCCTGCTCCCCCTGAACCACAGGTTCCCTCCACCAGGTCTGTCTATCCATTTGTCCTTTCTCCTCAGAATCACAGCATCGGGGGGTCTCCATCCTTTCCAGGGCGTCAGGGTTTTGTGTGGCTCTTGCCAGGGGCCCCTGGCCGCCTTGAATGCTGCTCCCCCCACTTGTAAGTGGAATAGACCTTCCAGGTTCCTCTCCTCCCATCCGTCTGCAGCAGCTTTGGCCTCAGAGGAATGGGGCAGGGGAGTAACAGTAAGGATGTGAGTGGGCGGGGGACAATTGCAGATTCAGGCATTCCTCTCTGAGGCAGTGCTGACAAGCGGGGCCATGGAGCCACTTTGCTTGGGATCAGATCCTGGCTCTGCCACTTACTAACTTGGGCAATTGACTTTACGTCTCTGTGCCTCAGTTTCTTCATCTGTTAAATGAGAATAAAAGCAATCACAGGTTTGTTGGGAGAGTTGTCAGAGCTGATATATTTAAAGCACTTAGAACAGTGCGTAGTAGCAGGCGCTATCTAAATGCCATGATTATTCCCCCAGCTACTATTCCATTTAGTCTGAGAAATATTCCTGGCCCCTGACCCATGGGAGAGAGGGAATCCTTTGTGGAAAGGCTTGGGAGCACTCGGTTCCCAGTCCCCTCTCCTAGTCTGAGAACAGGTACTCAACCAGGCCTGCACTGAGAGGCTGGAAGCGTATCTGCTGGCCTGCACTCCACCAACTGCTTCTCCCAGGGAAGCTGAAGGCCAGTGCAGCGCCTTGCTACCTTTCTCTACTTAGCCCTACCTTTCCAGACTCCTCTCAGCCTGGGTGCCCACACCAGAACCACAGCCCAGAGGCCTGGCAATTCCCTGGCTCCCAGCAAGGAAAAGGGATTGCACTAAGACTTCAATTCAAGGAACTGCCAGGGGCTTATTCCTCCTTGCAGTGGCAGCAAGCATAGCTGAAAAACAGGAATGGAGCAGGGAAGTGGGTTCTCTGGTTCTCAATGGCTAGAACCTACTGGGGACCATCCTACATCTGTTTGGCCCCAGGAGAAGGTGCTCTACTGACATTGCCATCCCAGAGTGGCAGGTCCTGCCTTCTGACGAGAAAGTCCTGAGCTTTTCACCTCTCCCCTCTGCCCAGGATGTCCCCAGTTGATCTCTGGCAGTTACCTCCTGTGGCTTTGGGAGCAAAGGCACGACAGGTAGGGGAGACCCCATTGTCTCCCTCCCTGGGATGGCTGTGGAGCAAACTGCACAACAGTGGGAGGGGCCTGAAGCCTGTGTCCATCGTGGGAAGTGCAGAGCCAGTCTCTCCAGCCAGTCCCAGAGCTCGCTGAACTTTTCCCAGCACTGGGTCTCCTGCTGGCAGTTTCGCTGCCAGGAGCAACCCCAAGGGCCTCATTAATCTAAGGGCAGAAAAACAATCCCAGGCTCCCAAGGAGAGAGGGCAGGTGGAGAGGTGCGTAGAGCCTGGGAGAGAGTCAGTCTGCAGCAAGCATTCATTGAGTGCCTACTAGATGCTGAGCCATGCCCTGGGATATAAAAATGAGCGAGGTAGACTCAGGGGCTTTCCAGGCTAATGGGAGAGTAAAATCCACACATAACATTTGTGAGAAGCATGGCAAAGGGAGCTAAGACAAGGGACCCAGCTTGGGGTGTACGGAGAGAGAAGCATGAAGAGCTCAGAGAGGGTATCCTGGAGAAGGTACATCCTGCATGGTAAGATGTACACAGAATCCCAAACTTAAGATGCAACCTCTCTCTCAAATAAAGTGTGTTAAGTCAGTTCTTCAGTCTAGCCTCGAGAAGAGTGGGGAAGAGGAGTTTCAGGAAGAGAGGAGAGAGGAGTGAAGGCATGGAGGCAAAAAGCAGCCTGGTATGAGTGGTGCTTCTGGGGCCCACAAACAGAGTGGCAGGGAAGGAGGCACGGCCCCGTCATCTGGGCTGTGGATCACCTTCAAAAGCTTGAGCTCCAGCAAGCAATGTGGGGTAGGGGGTCTTTGATGCATTTTAAATAAGAGAGTACATGGTTAGTTTCATGTTTTACTTTGGTGCTTCTCAAACTTTAACCTGCACACGAATCACCTGGGGATCTTGTCACAATGAAACATCTGATTCAGTAGGTATGAGAGTCTGCATTTTTAAGAGGCTTCGAAATGATGTTAAAGTTGCTGATCTGAGGACCACGTTTTGGAGTAGCAAGGTTTTTAGCTTCCAGTCTGAAGCTCCAAGCAGATGTATTTGAAAGGTAACAGGTCTGGAGACAGGTTATGAACTTAAGAAGGTGTTTGAGGGATCCAAGAGAGCTGCGGGGAGTGTGGAACACACGCGGTAACAGAAAGGAAGGATGGAGGCCAGGTGCTGTGGCGTACGCTTCTGGTCCCGGCTGCTTGGGAGTCTGAGGCTAGAGAATGCCTTGAGCCAAGGAATTAGAGTCCAGTCTGGGCAGCTTAGCAAGATCCCATCTTGAAAGAACAGAAGGCAAAAGAAAAGAAAAAAGAAAGAAAGATGAGAGAGAAGGAAAGGAGGGACAGATTGATTCTACACAGGAGGCAAAACCGGCAGAATCTGGGAAGTGACTGGATGGAATGGGAGTGGTTGTAGATGAGGGCCAGGTCAAAGATGATTCCCAGCATCCTAGTTCTTAAGAGTTTTCTGTTTGTTTGTTTTGTTTTGTTTTTTTGAGATAGAGACTTGCTCTGTCAACCAGACAGGAGTGCAGTGGTGTGATCTTGGCTCACTGCAACCTCTGCCTTCTGGGTTTAAGTGATCATCACACTTCAGCCTCCCAAGTAGCTGGGACTACAGGCACGCGCCACCACACCCAGCTAATTTTTGTTTTTGTTTTTGTTTTTTTTGAGATGGAGTCTTGCTCAGTCACCCAGGCTGGAGCGTGGTGGCGCAATCTCAGCTCACTGCAAGCTCCGCTCCCCCGGGTTCCCGCCATTCTCCTGCCTCAGCCTCCCAAGTAGTTAGGACTACAGGCGCCCGCCACTATGCCCGGCTAGTTTTTTTGTATTTTTAGTAGAGACGAGGTTTCACCGTGTTAGCCAGGATGGTCTCGAGCTCCTGACCTCATGATCTGCCCGTCTAGGCCTCCCAAAGTGCTAGGATTACAGGCGTGAGCCACCGCACCCGGCTGTATTTTTAGTAGAAATAGGGTTTCACCATGTTGGCCAGGCTGGTCTCGAACTCCTGACGTCAAGTGATCCACCCACCTTGGCCTCCCAAAGTGCTGGGATTACAGGTATAAGCCACCACGCCTGGCCTAGTTCTTAAGAGCTTCTTACTGTTTTTCATCACACCACCAACCCTGGGATTTGAAGCCCACTGAAGGATGAGGTCAGAGGGGAAGTAAAAAAACAAACCTCCTAGTTAAAAAAAAATATAAGTTTGAGACAAAATTTCCCCCAAGCATACTAATTCCTGAAATGTCCCTTTAGCTACTAAGTCAGTTTAACCAAGAACGGACCATTCTCCTCTTCCCATTTCCTCACTGCTGAGCAATCTATGGGTGTCCAAGGAAAACGGCATGATTTGATACTGGGGCTTACTCTGCTCTCATTACCTGACTGCTGGGACCCTAGGGTCAGCTCCTAGGATAAGGCTCAGGTCTGGGCTGGGGGGTTTGGGGGAGCATCCTGGGATATCTAAGTGGGGTAACTGAGCAGCCTGGATACCTGGGTTTAGAACTGCCTACCTTCATTGTTTCATGATGGAGCCAGCAGCCGCACAGTGTGATCCAAAGACGCCTGGTAGAGGGAAACCCGAATTGGCTGCAGGGGGAGTCTCCCCGGGTGCAGGCCCTGATTCATGGCCAGGAGAGCAGGAGGAGGACCAGCAGGACAGAGATTCCAGCTCTTCTGGTCAACTGCAAGGTGAGAGGCCTCCCAGGGACACACTTTCATTAACAACCCTGCCTGCGCTCACTTCACCTACTCTCCTTTCTGCCCTGATGGCAGCGGGAAGGAGGGAGAAAGGACACGTCTCTCCCTAGCTTGGACCTAACGACGATCCTCTACCTCCTTCCTCCCTGCCCCAACCCATCTTTGCTTGGTGCAACTCCGTCTGTCACCACCATTACTCGGCCCCCTTTCCTTGGTCAAAATACAGTACTTAAATTAAGTAAGTACTCCTCAGTGTGCTCTACACAGATGAATGGTGTGCGTGCATGGATAACGTAATTCTGGAAAAAACTCATGTGTTCCAAGGCATTGGCCCTGTAATCTCTGGAACCATTTAACCACTCAGTCACTACTGAACGTTCCCAATAAATTCCCAGTGGTCCTGGGCCACCGTCTTTGCTCTGTGCTGCTTCTACCTGGATTGCCCTCTTCTTGCTCTCCAGTAATTCTGGGTCCGCATTCTGCAAGCTTTTAAAGCCCAGATCAGGTGTTACCTCCTCCTTGAAACCTTTTCTGATTTTCCCAGTAGGAAACAGCCTTTCCTGCCTCCCAACCTCTAAGGCATGTTACTCACATCCTTTTTTAAAAAAATTTTTTTTTTTTTTTGAGACCGAGTCTCGCTCTGTCACCCAGGCTGGAGTCCAGTGGCGCGATCTCGGGTCACTGCAGCCTCTGCCTCCTGGGTTCAAGCGATTCTCCTGCCCCAGCCTCCCAAGTAGCTGGGATTATAGGCCCGCACTGCCATGCTTGGCTAATTTTTGTATTTTTAGTAGAGACGGGGATTCACCATGTTGGTCAGGCTGGTCTCAAATTCCTGGTGCTGGGATTACAGGTGTGAGCCACTGCGCCTGGCCCTTTTTTTTTTTTTTTTGAAGACAGAGTTTCACTCTTGTTGCCCAGGCTGGACTGCAATAGTGTGATCTCGGCTTACCGCAACCTCCACCTCCCGGGTTCAAGCAATTCTTCTGCCTCAGCCTCCTGAGTAGCTGGGATTACAGGCAAATGCCACCGTGCCTGGCTACTTTTGCATTTTTAGTAGAGACGGGGTTTCTCCAGGTTGGTCAGGCTGGTCTCGAACTCCTGACCTCAGGAGATCCATCCACCTTGGCCTCCCAAAGTGCTGGGATTACAGGTGTGAGCCCCTGTGCTCCCTGACTTTTCCAGTCCTTGTATTTATTTTTTTTAAGATACAGGGTCTTACTCGGTCACCCAGGCCGGAGTGCAGTGGCATGATCAGAGCTCACTGCAGCCTCAACCTCCTGGACTCAAGCGATCCTCCCACCTCAGTCTTCTGAGTAGCTGAAATCACAGGTGTGCGCCACCACACCCGGCTATTTTTTTTTTTTTTTTGTATTTTTAGTAGAGATGGGCGTTTCACCACATTGGTCAGGCTGGTCTTGAACTCCTGGCCTCAAGCGATCCTTCCACCCTGGCCTCCCAAAGTACTTGGATTATACATAGGTGTGCCATGGGGCCGGGACATTCACGTCCTTTTATAGTCCTTAATAGTACTTAAAGCTTTCTACAGGCGGTGGCTCACGCCTGTAATCCCGGCACTGTGGGAGGCCGAGGTGGGCGGATCACGAGGTCAGGAGATCGAGACCATCCTGGCTAACCCAGTGAAACCCCGTCTCTACTAAAAATACAAAAAAAATTAGCCGGGCGTGGTGGCGGGTGCCTGTAGTCCCAGCTTCTCGGGAGGCTGAGGCAGGAGAATGGCGTGAACCCGGCAGGCGGAGCTTGCAGTGAGCCGAGATCGCGCCACCGCACTCCAGCCTGGGTGACACAGCGAGACTCCGTCTCAAAAAAAAAAAAAAAAACTTTCTGCCATATAGTAGAGTTAGATTTTACTTCCTTTAGACTCCTAAAGAATAGCACTCACTGATGTACCTTCCAGTAACATATCTTATAGCAGATACTCAACGAATGCTTGGAATGAGAAAATGACCTGTGTGTATATCCAAGTGTATATCAAAATGTCTGTCTATGTCCCAAAGTAGGTGAACTTGTCCTCCTTTGTTTCTAATGGCAAACTTCTTGGTTACCCACAGCTGAGTTTCCTAACAGGGGATTCCAGTCTTCTCATCCTTCCTCTATTCCTAACCTGGAGTTTTCGAACCAGGAGGCCATCAGACTCCCAAGGATTCCTCTAAATAGATCACCATTTCTCCATTTCTGGCAGGTCTTCCCCAACTTTATGAACTCATCACATAGAACCACTTTTTTTTTTTTCCCGTTTTATTTTTTGTAGAGACAGGGTCTTGCTGTGTTGCCCAGGCTGGTCTTGGACTCCTGGCTTCAAGTGATCCTCTTGCCTCCAAAGTGCTAGAACTACAGGCATGAGCCACCTCACCTAGCCCACTTCCTTTTTTGATTTATCCGGGAGTTCTGCCCCTATTGTGTGAGTCTCATAAAAACCAGTTTTTGTTTTTTTGGGTTTGTTTTGAGATGGAGTTTTGCTCTTGTTGCCTAGGCTGGCGTGTAATGGTGCGATCTTGACTCACCACAACCTCTGTCTCCTGGGTTCAAGCGATTCTCCTGCCTCAGCCTCCCAAGTAGCTGGGATTACAGGCCTACGCTACCACGCCCAGCTAATTTTGTATTTTTAGTAGAGACAGGGTTTCACCATGTTGGTCAGGCTGGTCTTGAACTCCCAACCTTAGGTGATCCACCCGCCTCAGCCTTCCGAAGTGCTGGCATTACAGGCGTGAGCCACTGCCCCGATAAAAGCCTGTTTTAAAGACAGTTCGTTTTCTCCACTCATTTCTAAAAGGGAGTCATCAGTGGGCTGGGAAACTGAAGGACCCAATCCCAACCCATTCTCCTAGGGACTCACTGATTCGGCACAATCCCTCTTTCTCAGTGCCAGGACCTGTTGCTTAGAGTGGCCGTGGACACAGGCACCCAATACAATCGGATCTCTGCTGGATGTCTCAGCCGCCTGGGGTAAGAGTGGCCCAAAAACGCAAATGGGGGACAGGGTTTCTTTTTGGGCTGATGAAAATATTCTCAGATTAGATAGTGACGACAGTTGCATATTTTATCTCAATAAAGCTGTTATTTAACAAAAGAGTGGCTAGAAGACTCTGGCAGAGAAGGCAAGGATTTAGACCCCACGTGAGGTCAGGGGTTGGAGGTGAACCCATAGTAGAGTGGGACGTCTGCTGATTAATGGGGTGAAGCCCACTGGGGGCTGTGGTAGCCATAACCTTTGCTTCCCAACCACAGGTTAGAGAAGAAGGTCCCAAAAGCCTCAGCTGGGGACCTGGCCCCTGGGCCCCCAACCCAGGTGGAGCAGTTGGAGCTACAGCTGGGGCAGGAGACCGTGGTGTGCTCGGCACAGGTGGTGGGTAAGTCCCCCCTTCTGCAACAGCCCTGGTGCTCGCCTCTCACCTTTCTCTTCAGGGTGGGGCAAAGGCAGACACTTTCAGTCCCTGCAGCACAAGGGGTCCCCAGAGATGTTCTGACCATCCCTCATCTCCGTGCCAGTGCCCTTGGATCTGGGGATGGGGTGGGCAGAGAAGGAGCAAGGGCTGAGAGGAGGGCAGCAGTGACCGCTGGGAACCCTCAGCCTCTTCGGTTTTCAAATGGTTCCTGCAGATGTCGAGAGTCCTGAATTCTGCCTGGGCCTGCAGACTCTGCTTTCTCTCAAGGTAAGGCACCCACACTCAGGGCCTGATCCAAAGCACCAGGAAAAAGTAGTAGAAGGCACAGGTGTGGAAGCTTGGACCAGGTTCTGATGAGAGTGACTTAGAGATTGGCAGTTGTCCCTTTGCTTCCTTAGAGGTTCCTTACTCACCACCCAGTGAAAAGTCAAGAGAACTGGGTCACCCCCTCCAACAGGAGTCAAGGGAAATGGGGATAAGGGGGAGAGCAAAAGGCAGGTGGAAGCTGTGGGAAGTGGGAGGCAGGTGACGGGCTGAGCTGAGCCGGCATGACTGCTCTACACCCCACAGTGCTGCATCGACCTGGAGCGCGGAGTGCTGCGGCTGAAAGCCCCGTTCTCAGAGCTGCCCTTCCTGCCTCTGTACCAAGAACCTGGCCAGTGACTGCTGTCTCAGTCAGTCCCCAGAGGGAAAGACCTTGCCTTAGCAGAAGAGGCGTGTGGGGAACGGGTGCTCTTGAAGCCAGGTAGCTGGGGACTCCGGTGTCTGCCCTTTCAATCACCACCCTGAGCCCTGCTGTCCCATTTCCCCCAGCCGCCCACATTCCTCTCTGCTTCTCAGCAGCTGTCCTACTCCCCAGGGGGAGTTTTCACTAGAGCGCCCACGACGCCAGGTTTCTCATTCATTTCCCTCCAAGAAGAGCAAAGCCAAACCAGGACCACAGATGGGAGGCTAAGCAAAATGGGGTGCCTGCCTGGGCTGGGTCGAAGGCTCTGCTGACTGCTGTCCTTGCCCAGCACCCAATTCCACCCCAAACGCAACTCAACTTCCCACACCACCATGGCTCTCACCACACCTTCTGGGGCTCCGTATCTCCCACAATTACACTCACGCCTCGCCAACCTGGGTCCCTGGACCTCCTGGTGTCTGCCTCTTGGATTCTGTGCACATCTGCACAGATGTGGGGGAAGAAACATGAGACAGAATTCAATACAACAAAGACATGGAGTTAGTATAGGAATGTCCATCTCATAAGGCTGAGAGCTTTCATTAGTTATTTTTCTGGGGCTGCAAATGTCTGAAGCCAGTTATTGTTCGATTACCCTGTGCAAAACCTTGGACATACTTCTGCTATTAACGCTAGGTATTTATCCTTCTCCACTTGCTTTTTGTACCCACAGAGCCCCTGAACTTTGGGTGTGTGTGTGGCAGAGCCTTGTAGAGAACTGCTCCTACGAGGCAGACAGGACAGTGAGGCTGTCACCACTCAGACTGAACCTATTTAGCATTCTTTCTGATTTCTGGAACTACCCACCTCGTTAGGCCTTCTTCCCATCCCCGTCTCCGGTCTCTTGAGCTTAAGCTCGCCTTGTCCTGGAATCAGTGGCTTTCTAACCCCCCGCCAGGCTTTGCCAAAGCAAAAAGACAGAGGCTTTTTCTTTTTTTTTGAAGTTTGGGGTCTGTCAGGAGAGAGAGGCTTTTCTGAATTCACTGTGAAGAGAAGAACCCGAAGCTTCAGGCGCCAGACCCCTGAGAGTCTTTCTGGCTGGTGTGAGTCTCTCAAATCATGGATTAGGAGTAAAGAAAGAGGCCGGGCGCAATGACTCATGCCTGTAATCCCAGCGCTTTGGGAGGCTGAGGCGGGCGGATGACTTAATGTCAGGAGTTTGAGAGCAGCCTGGGTAATATGGCAGAACCCCATCTCTACTAAAAAATACAAAAATTAGCCAGGTATGGTGGTGCTCACCTGTAATCCCAGCTACTTGGAAGGCTGAGGCACAAGATTGTTGTGAGCCAAGTTTGTGCCATTGGACTCCAGCTTGGGCGAAGGAGTGAGACCCAAGGAGTCTCCAAAAACAAACAAACAAACAGGGGGAGAGGAGGACAGTGGTAGAGCTAACCTGAACTGGGTGGGACCCTTGGGCTGAGACAGAGTCCTGAGCCTGGGGTAGACTGGGTTAGAGAAGAACCAGGGCCGGGCGCGGTGGCTCACGCCCTGTAATCCCAGCACTTTGGGAGGCCGAGGCGCGCGAATCACAAGGTCAGGAGGTCGAGACCACAGTGAAACCCCGTCTCTACTAAAAATACAAAAAATTAGCCGGGCGCAGTGGCAGTCCCCTGTAATCCCAGCTACTCAGGAGGCTGAGGCAGCAGAATGGCGTGAGGTGGAGCTTGCAGTGAGCCCAGATCGCAGCCTGGGCAACAGCGCGAGACTCCGTCTCAAAAAAAAAAAAAAAAAAAAAAGAGAAGAACCGGGATGCGAGGAGCTGCTGCCTGTGACACCTGGCCTGACCTTTCCCGGCTGCCTCCCCTGCCCTCAGAAGGAAAGGAGAGGGGCTCACTTATCACGTGTGCCATAGTACCTGGTCTCAAAATCCTAAAAGCTTTCCTCTCCCTCACTGCCTTGCTCCACAAGGTCCGCTTTCCTGGGTCCTGTGCTGTGCCTTTCCTTGTCTGCCTCCTGCTGCTTCTGTAACTGCAGACCCCAGGCCCAGTGACAAGCCCTCGGTTCAGCTGCTCCTCCATTGGAATAAACTCGTTTCTCTATGTCAATGATCTTCTCTGGTCTTCCTCCCTGCCTGTCAAGAGCTGAATGATAACTCTGCCCGCTGTCCCTTACAGAAAGGAAATGGGAATGTGGGCCCTCGCCCAGGCTGCCCCACCTGACTAGGGTCAGTATAATTGAGAGCAATCTGAAAGCAATGGCTTTCCAACTCCTCTGACCACAGCAGGAATACATTTCACATGGCACTCAGTACACACGCGCACATATGACTGTAACAAAACAATACTTACCCACACTGCGAGCAATGTACTCTGCTGTTTTCTATTTTACTTTATTCTATTCTACCTATTCTAAAAATGCTGGCCATAATCCACCAAAGGACTGCAACCACAGTTTGAAAAACACCGACTTAGAGCACTGAGAATCAAGAACAGACGGCACATAAATGACCCAAGATATAATTCTGATTGTGGTCTGGATCATAAACCTGCATCACACTTTAAATGACTATTGTCTTAGAGACAATAAGCTTTTTTATGGGGGAATGGGTGGGTGGAAAAATGGGAGCAGGGCTTCGGAAGCTCACTAATACCTGAACAATATGGCAACACGAGAAAGCACTGACCCAGCTGCTTTGGTAAATGGAGGAAAATCATCTCAGGGTTGCTAGGAACATGGGTGAGACCAGACTGTAGAAAGATCCCTCAAAACAAAACAGTTTGCCATTCCTTTAACAATTACCAACGTCAAGAACTTGGAATTATGCCATGGAAGACAGAGCTTAAGACGGGGGGGAGCCCTTACCTCCACTGCCCCCCTGGGCCTAAAGCCTGGTTTCCTTATGGGTGTTGGGGCCACACAAACAAGTCTCTGTTTTCAACACAGTCAAAGTGGGAAGTGGGACATGTCCCAGATGATCTGGAACAAGGCCAGGGTCCTAGGACCCTGCTGGCGTGATGGATGAGGTCCACAAGGAAATGGGCAGAGGGTCAACTTGTCTCTTCTTTCACCAAAAAGACTGCAAGGTCTATAGTTCATGGTCACCCTAGCGCTGCTGCCATCTTTCATGTCCAGAGTCAAATCCTGCATTTCTGTAACGCATATTCCCTATCCTGCCAATATCACAGATACCTTTAGGGGGTAGGGTGGGGGTTCGGAAGAATCCTTCACCAGCTCTGAGGCAAGTACGGCTAGGTGGGATCCTGGAGGCTTGAGGAAGCACACTGTGGTGGCTGGTCTGGATGGTAGAGCGTTTGGTGAAGCAGGGCACGAGTCACAGGGAGGTCGTCAGGATCTGAGAGCCAAGAAGGGGTGGGTGAGAGGCTGTGGGTCTCCTGGGCACCTGGGCCACTGGCTTTTCTGGGACTCACCCACACCCAGCTCCTGCAGCAGGCTGTGGTACTCCGGCTTGGTTTCCAGCAGTTTCAGCAGATTGGTAGACTCCATCCGCTCCAGCTGCACCTCCCAGTACACATAGATCTTCTGGTTGAAAGTGACATATACGAGGCAGGGGCTGTTACGGCCCTCTTTGCAGGCATACAGGCCTGGAAGATGTGGGCAGGGAGACAAAGGTCAGGAAGTTTCAGTGCTGGTGGTGGGGGGCAGACAGCAACACACAGACCTTCGAGTCAGCACTTCCTACCCTCCACTGATGTCCGGAAAAAAAGGAAAGGTTCTCTATTTGTTTTCTGTTAGGAACTCAGTAAAACAGATAAGATGGGAAAAGACCTGGCTCACTTCAGATGTAGAAAAACCATAGCAACAAAACCCAGGCAGAACAGAATCCAAAAAGGTGCTATTTGTTGATTTTCCCATCTTAGTGATACCCCTGGAGTGATGAGGGACGGCCTCGCTCGCCCAAGGGCGAGACTAGCAGAACACGATCAGAAAGTGAGGCTTCTCTTCGGTGCCAATCCCTCCTTCCAAAGGCATCCCCCAGTCACCCAGAGAGTGAGTGCTGCCTCCCAAGGCCCCTGACTTGGAGCTAATGAAAATGTTCTAGGAGACCTTTCTCCACAGAGCCCTGGCATGCTCAGGTGGAAAAGAACTTCCTGATGTCTTCACACATCCCAGACCGACGACAGAAACTCATGCCATTCTTTAAAATATTCCGGGGTGGAGATGCTGCTGTCTTTCATTTCTTATTTAAGATTGTCAAGATGGCAATGTAGTGACCACCCCTCACCCCCAAACAAAAGAGCTGAAGAACTCATTGGTGAATGAAGACTTCCATCAGGGGATACGGCAGAAAGGGAAGTGAGGGGCAAACACTTCCCTGGCATATCTAACACGCCTGTCTAACTTAAGTGTGGTCAGAAAGGGGCCATGAGGGCGGGGGTCACCTGCACAGAAGGCACGGATGTTTTCATCCACTTGGAAGCGGACAACGGTGCGGTTGTGGTCAATGATGTATGTCTGTCCATCCCAGGCGCATGCAACTACCTCCTCATGCCCGTTGCCCTGAAAAAGGCCAGAGACAAGGAACATAAAGGAGCTGCGGACTGGACTCTGGATGACAAACAGCCAGCTGGGGAGGAATTTCACCCATGGGCTGGGCAGTAAACGGGACTGTCAAATGAGCTGTCACATAATGCTCACAGCCACCGTAGGAAGTAGGCAATTCTATACTGAGGAAACCTCAGCTTGTAGAAATAGAGTCACTTACCCAAGGCCACTCAGCTAGGAGGCAGCAGAATCAGGACTCAAACCCAGGTCTGCCTCTTCTCCTAAACCAACAAGCATGCCTGACGACAACATAAAGTGTAGCCCCTGCCTGCTGATTCAGGGGCCATAGTGACATTAAATAGAGATTTATATATGGACAAGAAAAACCTACAAAATATGCCTCTGGAGTTGGGACGAATAACATACTTCCAGGCTCTTACAGTAACTTTTCTTTAGGGCTACTACTTCTGCTGAAGTTATGGAAATGACAGACTTCTAACAGCACGGTATAGCGTTAAATACGGTAGAGTAAGAGGAAACAAACTCACTGCAGATGGATTTAGACCTATCTAAAGAGACTTAAGGCCGGGCACAGTGGCTTACGCCTGTGATTCCAACACTTTGGGAGGCCAAGACGAGAGGATTGCTTGAGCCCAGGAGTTTGAAACCATATATGGTGAGATCTCATCTTTACAAAAAGTTTAGGAAAATTAGCCAAGTGTGGGGGCACACGCCTGTAGTCCCAGCTTCTCAGGAGGTTGAGGTGACAGGATGGCTTCAGACAAAGGTTGCAGTGAACCAAGATCATGCCACTGCACTCCAGACTAGGTGATAGAGGGAAATCCTGTCTCAAAAAAAAAAAAAAAAAAAAAAAAAAAAAGACAGAGACTAAAGATAAAGGTTGGGAGTTCCCTGGGATGTGAGAATAGCCTGATTATTCCAAATCTCATCTCTCCAAAAAAAAAAAAAAAAAAAAAAAAAAAGACAGAGACTAAAGATAAAGGTTGGGAGTTCCCTGGGATGTGAGAATAGCCTGATTATTCCAAATCTCATCTCTCCATGTGGAAAACGCAAGAATGTTCTGCTCTTCCAGGTTTTCCACTCACGGTGACATCCAGTTTCTCCAGGGCAAAGAGCTGGTGATCCACCTGCACTGACCACAGCAGCTTGTCTGCTTCTTCCATTTCTTCCATGAGCTTCAGTGTCCCTGCCGGGGGGAGAGGCAGGCTGAGCGCGGGTGGGATAGGCCCCGAGCAGACCCTACAGGCATACAGCCCCCACACCCCATCCCAGCATTGCTCACCATCCAGGGTGCACAGGGCAAAGAGGCCAGAGCCACTACTCTCAGTGCCGTGGCCTGTGGGTAGGACAGGAGGACCAGAGGAAGAAAACGTCAAGGGCAGGGCAAGGTCAGAGCCTACGGGGAGAGGGGTATTCTGCAGCAGCAGGGAAAGGACAGGGCTCGAAATGAGGGGCAAGCTATGGATCTCCACTCTCCCAGAACTGATGGCTGCCCCTCATCTCCCTCCCTCACCCCCACCGCACTTTCACCTTGTTTGATGTTGCCAATTAGGTGAGTGGAGACATTCTTGTTGTGGATAC